CCCCAGTGGCGATGACCAGTGAGGTCCAGCCAAAGGCTCCAGCTGAGGCAGAGACTGCAGAAGCTGGATCACTGTGTGGCGTTTCAGCTACCCCTTCACGCTCCAAGAAGAGTTCCGTTGCTTCCAAGCCGTCTCGAGTGACGAGGATCAAACTGCTCAAGAGCTTGCGTCGGACTTTGTTTGGTCCAAATGCCGAGGTGAAGAGAGCTCCAAAGCGTCTTGCAAAGAAGCGCAAGGCGAAGAGTGTGAAAGATGAGGATGAAGAGTCGGATGGAGTACCTCCACGTCCGAAAGCCAAGGCGAAGGCAAATGTGAAGAGCAAGGCAATGCCGCGTCCTCGTGGCACAGTGCGTGGCTTCTTCGATGCTCGTCGCGGCCGCAGGGTGGAGGTTCCCTTGCGTGGCCCCAATGAGGCGCCCAAGCCAAGGATGATTCGGGCCTTCAGTGGCTTCAGCTTTCGGCCAGTCAACAACCTGAAGCGCAGGATCTGTGGCAACTATGGCCATGTGGCAGCTGCGTGCATCCAGGGACAAAGGTCAGTGAGTTTGACCACTGGGAAGATCCAATTGAGTCAGCGGATCGATCCAAAGAGCGATGAAGACCTTCGAGGTGATGCATTGCCCAATTATGGATTTGAGAATCCTTTGAGCTCACAGATCAGCCCAGGTGACAGTGTGTCGCAGGTCGGCTACACCCCTGTTGCGCCCAAGTATGCACTGCCGATCCCAGCAACTCCTGGCATGTCAGCCGACGAGCGGCTACGCCTGCTGTTGAAGAAGAGAAAGAACGAAGAACCCCAAAGGAAGCAGGGTTACGAAACGGCAGACGAACCGTGGCCCCAGGAGGAGGAGCATGGCGACCTCAAGGAGGAGTTACGCCGGAAGAGGAAAAGGGTAGAGATGCGACCCTTTACAAAGGAAGTCCGCGACAGGCCAAGCTACATGCGGCCGTTGGCGGAAGACCCCCGCAAAGGCCGAGCGCGACCAAGCGAAGCGGCGCCAAAGCGCCCTCCTCCGGTCCCACCGCCGAAAACACCACCGAAGGGACCAATGCCACCTCCGCCGAAGAAGAAGGCGATGCCAGTTGCTCCGAAGACTCCTCCGAAGAAGCCAGCTGAGAAGCCCAAGACTCCTGCAAAGGAAGTTGCAAAGGCAACATCTGAGAGTGAGGCTGCAAAGGCACCAGCGCCTGTTCCGAAGAGTGAGGCTGCAAAGGCACCAGCGCCTGTTCCGAAGGCAATTGGGATTGAACCTCCCAAGACCCCTCCAAAGATGGCTCCAAAGACTCCGAGTGAAGCCTTTCGATCAGTTAGCCCAACTCTGGTCGATGCTCCAACTCAGGCAGAGCCGAAGCCAAGTGGGGTAGAGCGGACAAAGGATCCGTCGCCCATGAAGCACCCTGAGGGATTGCCAGAGCAGACCGTTGAGGAGAACGTGTCACCGAAGGTGAGTCCAAAGCCTCCTCCACCGCCGTTGGATAGCCCGCCTACAGCTCATCAGGAACCGCCTCCTCCAACTGAGATCGGATTCCCTGTGACGGGACCAGCTGAGGTACCCAAGTCTCCAACGGTGGCGCCTGTTTTGCCGAAGTCTTCACCGGCGAGGCCGCTCATTGATTGGGGAGCACCAGCTTCAGTGGAGTCGCCGATCGGTTCGACCAGCGACATCACAAGGATCATGGGATTAGCATCTCAACACACTTCGACACCAGTGGGCCAGACTGGAAGTTCAGTGGCCAGTTCAGGGACATCCAGACCGGTTCAATGCTGCATCGCATGCCATGGTACTGGAGTGTTGACAGCTGAGCAGAATGTGACCATCTTTTCGCTGTTGGCCTCAATGCCCCCGCGAAGTGTGATGCTAAGATGTTCAAACGAAACACTGTCAAGAGTGACTTTTGAGTGTGACTCAGCCGTTTCAGTCATCCGAGAGTCGGATCAACTCAGGTACCCTCGATATACTGTGCTAGAAGTAGCTTGTGGCAAAGAGTCAGTCATTGCAAGATCTTGTCGAGAAGTTGACTATGTTCGATACATAGGAATCCATGCAAACCTCCAGGAGATCGGAGTTCGCAATAAGGTGCTGACCCTGCTCCGTGATGGATTCAGTCGATGCCCGCATGGATCTCAGGTAGCATGTCTCGTGCACATCTCTCTTCCTTGCAAAGGTGGATCCCCTCTCTTGAATTTCTGGGGAAGGAATGAGAAGCACGAGAAAGAGTTCTTCTATCTGTTGAAGTCATCTGGAAAGTATCTTGATGAGATCAAGTCATCTGATGGAGTGTCCGTCACTGTTTCGTTCGAACTGCCGAGAAGCAATCAGTACTGGAAGAGTCGAGACCTTCAGAATTTCTTCGAAAAGCACGGGATGGCATATCAGAGTGAATGTCATGCTTGTTCAATGGGATTGGAAACCCAGAGTGGACTTCGAATTGGCAAAATTTTCAGGATTCAGAGTTCCAACTCGTGTTTGAGTCAGCGGTTGAACTCTCGCTTTCAATGTCGTTGCAATGAGAGTCATGCACCATTCAACGCAGTTGATTACCATGATACTGAAAGGTATTCAATGAAATTTGCTCGTTTTCTTGTGAAGAGTTTTTGCATCTGTGCATCCTTGAGGTGAGAACCCAAGCTGAGCAACCGCCTGGCTGAGAGCCTCTGCTTTTGTTGCTGCGCAGATAGCTTGATGACACTTGCGGATGAAGCTTCCGATGATCGATGTGAAAATACGTGTGCATGAGATGCCGCTGGAATTCAATAGCTTTGGAACTGTGATTGTTCACACCTTCTAGACTGTTCACTGTAGAGTCTGTCGAGAGTCGATGAAATTGGATCAGGTTTTTGGCAAAGGTACTTCATGAATCTTGTCTCGGTCTGTGTGACCACCTTACTTCGAGAGACTTGAAATCAGTTGAACAGTGAGACTGTTTTTCAGGAAGCCGTGCTCATGTCGAAATGACCCTTGAGTCGTCCCTTCCTATCTTTTCTTTCCTTTCGGAGAACTTTTCTTCGCCGAACTTTTCCGCAGCCATTTGTGTGTGTGGGGCGTCCGCGCGGGAAGCCATGTTGTCGTTTGAGGGCAGCTGCATTGCTGCGCTGGCGTTGTATGGCGCGCTGAGTTTGCTTGTGAAGCTTTTTGGCGCTGCTGGAACGGCGAAGAGCCTTTTGGGTCAGAAGAGGATGATGGCCGATAAGCCAGAGAAGCAAGAGCCGTTGCTGAGAGAGAAAGTCTCTGCTGCTGCTTCTACAGGTGCTGCTGCGTCGAGCGCTGCTGGCCGGCCGAGTGGTGTTGAGAACACTGCAACCTCCGAGTGGATGAAGATGAACGCAGTGAACAAGGTACTTGAGGTATTTGTGACCTCGACTGGGTCCAAATTCCACCTTGACCGTCAATGCCAATACTTGCGAGGCAAGAAAGTCACCTCTTTTGGTTTGTGTAGCTGCTGTGAGCGCAAGCGTTTACTGGAACAGCGAGCGACCACTGCCCAAAGTGGCATGTGAGCTTCGAAAGGGGGTGTGAGAATTTATAGTACTGAGGAGCGAAGACTCCATACCACTTGTTTAGAGACCGCAAAGAAAGCCATGGAGAGTTTTGGCTTGTTTGAATGACGTTCGTTAGTTTTTGAGAACATTGAAAGATTCCTTTCAATGTTTCCATATGTTTGTAGTTTGTGTATGAGGTGTCCGAGAACACCCGAAGATGTTTAGACTATGCTCTTAGTTGTTTCCAACTGTTTTTAGAACCTTTGTGAAGCGTAGAACTGTTTTGAGTATGGTTTTGCATGTCCACAAATGTCCCGAGAACATTTGTGAACCTTGGAGAACGTTCGTCACTTTGGCTCAAGTGTGCGGCGAAAAGTGTGCGTGTCTTTTGCCTGCTTTTTTCTTTCGTTTTCGACTCGGGTTGTTGGGACACTTGACTGACTAGGTGTTTTGAGCACGAGAGCTTTTGATTTTCCGTCAGGAGTTTGTGTGTCAAACTTTCACGGTGACTCAATGTCCTAGCACTTGAGCCCTAGAAATGCAGCGCAGGAATGTGTAAGCGTCAGTTGCCCTCCACTTCCTTAGCTGAAAATATGCATGTACGCATGGACTGTAAGGTGCACCAGGGCGAGCGTTGACCTGGCTGGACCCGAAAAAGGCTCGCGCCCAGACTAGATGGATCACAGGAAGGCGACTTATGATCGTGCGGTTGTCTGGTCCGCCGGTCCGCCGGTCCGCTGGTCCGCTGGTCCGCCGGTCCGCCGGTCCGCCGGTTCGCCGGTCCGCGGGTCCGCTGGTCCGCTGGTCCGCTGGTCGCTGGTCCGCCGGTTCGCCGGTCCGCTGGTCCGCTGGTCCGCTGGTCCGCCGGTCCGCTGGTCCGCTGGTCCGCCGGTCCGCTGGTCCGCTGGTCCGCGGTCCGCTGCTCCCCTCCTCTCATGGATGCGCTCGTCCAGTGGTCCGGTCTGCGGTTCCGGTGGTCTATAAACTGGACATGGAAAGATTTTTTTGTTCTTCAGACAGCAACGTTAGGCAGCGTCTGACAATCAACCTCGTTGGGCCTGCCCTGCAAGCATGATGCGGCGGAACGGAAGCGCCTCACCTATACCTGGGGCTTGAAGCCGAAAATCAGTAACAGAAGTCGCCCTCATTGAACTGAAGTGATCATGCTTTGGAATGCCCACCAGAATCTCTGATGTACACCGTGCACCCTGCTTTTTCCAAACTTCAACGCCCCCATCCCTGGCCACCGCTCCTGCTAGTCTTGCACCACAGTGTAGGCGCAAGGTCTGCCTACGCTGCTGTTGTGGCTGACAGGTCTGCAATTAAGGGAGACAAGTTCGGATCTAGATTGTCATGACCAAATTCTGGGAAGGGCTCGGCGGGTGGAATACCTACGGGTGGATTGGTTTCACGCAGGTTTTGCAGGACCCACTTGGCTGCCTGCATCTGAACAACCAAACACCTGCGGATGAGCTCTTTTCACACTTCCTTAGCGACTGTTGTATATCTCCACAACGGCTCACTCCTCATCTCTGGGCCGTTTGCGCCGATCTTCCTGGCGCTTCCTTTCCTGGTTGCTGGATGCTTTCTCCATGGCGGCCACCAGCTCCCGCAAAGTCAGCCCACAAGCCCTCATCAATTCATTGTGGTACTTCACCTTGCCCTGCGCTGTGTCTGGGATCACTTTCAAACACAAAGTCTCACCCTGGAGCTGAAGGATGCTGGAACGCTGCTCTGCGGCTGCCGCCATGACCGCTGTCCATTTCTCTTTCGGAAGCGCTTTGCGGCGGCCCTGCTCCCTGCTGGTGCGCATTTTGTCACACGCTTCTTTGCGAGTCATCTTTGGCTTGCCGGTCAGCAAGGTGTGCTTCAGGATTGCCCGGTCTGTCCAGTGACGGCTGAAGAGACCGTCAGGCTGGACTGTGACGCCATTCTCGCCAAAACCAAAATCACTTGCCCGCACTTCATCAAGAACCAGCGGCTTTTCGCCTGCGGGTGGATCTTGGGGCGGTAGGTCCTCCACGACTTCGGCCACGCTGTCTGGAGGCCTTTCAAGCGAGTTGGGCCCAGGTTCCGCATCTTCTTCTTCAGGTTCAAGTTCAAATTCTTCTTCCTCGCCAGCTTGGGGAAGTCGAAGTCCGGGACCATGCTGGGTCGAAGCAAAATCTTCCGTCTGATAAGGAACACGCAAAGTTGCCAAATCGAAAGCAGGTTGCGGACTTGGCTGCTGGGGAAAATGGTCTGGGCTAGCGGCTGCATCTCCCAAAGCAATATGCTTCAGCTTCTGGACCTGAATTCGCGAATATAGCGCCAACAGCAGATCTTGGGTTTTTGAAAATAAACAAACAAGAAACAAAGTGCCAAGAAACCAATTGGAGCAGAGCATAGGCCCTTTGGCAATGATCTGGAGTGACCTGCAAATCCCTCCGTCCAAGAGCTTCAACACTGTGCGCACCCACAAAGATTTCAAACACCAGGAGCAAAGCCGCCAAAACTCCCACTTGCCACGGAGCGGCTCCAAAGCGAGCGCCGCCCTGAACATCCCCTGATTCGCGAGACAGATGGGCTTGCGCATTCATTCCACCTTGGTAGGACATGTGCCAAGACTCCGCCTCCGGAGTGAGGGCAATGACTTGGTGAGGTTGGTCGAAGTAGGCAGTGACTCGGGAGACAGCGGCCGTCAGGGAGCACTCTGCTGGAATGGCAAAGCTTCTGTTGGCAACGCGCCACTGAGCTTCAAACCCAGACGTCGACGCAGGAGAACGTTTGAACCGTAGGCGGCTCATCTTGCCATCCAAGAGCCTCACAGGGTACCCATCTTCTGATGGGACATAGTCGCCCGCTGCATTCTGGGTGAGCTGCACTGCTTTTTCATCTTCAAGGCCAACGTCTGTCCACTCCTGAGCAGCGGCATCTGGCGAAGCAGCCTCTTTGGCTATGCCCAGCAGTTCCGCAATTTCGGCTGTGAGAGGAACCCATCGGTGCCGGGAAACTCCTGCGCTAAGCAAATGCAGCAAAGAATGCGAGCAGATTTTACAGAATCCAAAACGCTTTTAACACAACACCCATCGCGCAGAACACCTGTCCTGGAGGGCAACAGAAATCTGCCGGCATGTCTTCGCGCGGCTGCACAGGCCGGCCAGTGGAGATGACAAACCGTTCTTTGGTGGAAGCTGCGTGGCAACCAACCTCACCTCTTTCCATAGGGATGTATTGCGCAGGGTGCATATTGCAAGTGATCCCCATGCTAACGGTTCTAGCAAGCTTCTCTCCATAGCTCCCATTCGTTTTCGTGGCGCGAGCGCTGGTTCCAAACTGCAAGAGCTTGTTGAAGGCACTCTGGTACGGGTTCACCCTTGCCTTGGCTTTCTCCTTGGATGCAGGCCCATCGGACAAGAGACCCAAGCTGAGCAGGAAGTCGTAGGCCTCATCAAAATTCCCCAGCAAGCCAAACCAGCATCGGCCAGACCAGTCTCCGGGCAACTTGTCAGCATTTCGGACCTGGTTCCAATTGCCCGAGCATCGATGGAACCACTCCTCAGGTGTTGCGCTGGCAACCATTGCGGAGAATAGCTTCGGCTTCAACCTGGCACAAATGGCGGGCTCGTTTTTGGTTAGAATTCAACACCTAAAACTTCCCAGCCCCCTGTTTCAACAGCCCGCTCACACCTGTGCTGCACTGGCGCAGGAGCGCCTTCTTCCACACAATATGTCGCCAGCTTGGACTCCGCGTTCGTCAAGATGACTGCGTCCAACTCCTGCCCACAAGCCTCTGCGTGTCCTGTCAAGGATGATTTTCTCGTCTGGGCGTAGTTGACATTAATTGCAACCAACGTCAAAGGCGATGGCGAGGTAGCAAAGACAGCCACTATGGCACCGTTCACAAGAGCACACATCAGCGACAAGCAGTGGAGGGCGTAAGGAAATTCTGCATGGGCTGCCCTAACAGCGTATGTTTGGCAGAAGCGGTGCCCAGCTTCTCCAAGGATGTAGCTTGGGTCGAAGCACTTGTCCACTTCATCCCACATCAAATTCATGGCAGGGATGTACTGTCTGTCTTCGTGGGCTCCAGACAAGGGCCCCAGAACTGACGACATGGCTTGGCCGCGCCACCGAGCTCAGAGCAGACGCGGCTGTCACGGCCATCATGCAAGGCTTTGTTGGAACACTTTAGTCAGACTTAGTCGAAGCTACGCAAAACAGTTTGGTTTCAAAGCGAGGCATCTGCACATGCGCACTGACAGAGTCATGTACCGCGTGATATGTAGCCGTTTGAAGCAACAGGTCGATGCAATGAGCGGGTACGACACACCATGAATTTTCCATTCCACAGCTTCGATCCAGTCTATAAGGCACAGGCCGCGCTTGAAATCCTAAATCTTAACTTTAGACTGTCAGTCGGTCCCTTCCAATGCCGCAGAGCCGGCGACCTCCTCTGGTCTGTAGCCTCCTTGGAGTATAATTTCATTGTGGCTCCACGCCATATCGAGCAAGAAGAATTGGAAGCCGTGCTTGTTCATGTGCTTGGTTTGGTGCTTGTACTTGCTCAACCAGGTAAAAGTGAATTCACAGACCGAAGTCCGAATGCCTTGAAGAAGAGAAGCGTTTGCAGGCAAGGCTGGGTCGCACGTCTCTTTACACCAAGCATCGGTATGGCCAGCCATGTGGAACTTGTCGCGCACGTACTTCATCTCTGGCGGGGCTATCTGGGCAGCAGCTTCTGAATCCTGCGCATGGGCAATATAAAACGTGAAACGCATTCACGCAAGAAACAACAGAACACTAGCACGGTGCTTATAGCTCTCACTGCCCAAAGAATTTCGCGGCTTTGTCATCCCCTTTGAGTTTCCGTCCTGGGCGCGACGAGCCGCGTACTTGTGCAAATGGCAAGCATCATCGTGGACCACCACGCGAAGGGACGGCAAGAGGGCTTTCACAGACGCCAGACATAGGTATCTCTGGCTCAACGACTCACAGCCGTAGATTTCTTGCATGTGCAAAATCAAACCCTCAGACAAACACGCGCACAACATTCCAGCAGATTTGGCAAGCTGCCTTTGAGCAGCGCTGCCTTCCTTGTGTGTGCAGCAAGTCACGCACTGCAAATCTGTTGGGTCGGACGAGCGCCCAATCTCTTGCAACGTTAAACTCGCAAGCATCGAAGGTCCAAGCGATGAGGAAGAGCCGCCTCTGCCGTCTGCCTCCTCTTCTCGCCGTGGGCGTTTGCTGGGTTTCAACTTCGCCTCGCCCACTTGCTGCAAATAGTTGGACAGGACAGACGCTGGAACTGCAGAATCGGATACCCAAGCTTCTCTTTGAGGCTCCACAGTCTCTTTCAGCAAGACCATCAAGCACTGTCCGTCATTGATGAGCTTGTGCTGAAGAATGGTCACTTCCTGAGGCAGAGTGGCTGAAAAAGAAAAACTTTACCCATTTTTGCGGTTGGAAATGCTTTGCCCCCCCGCCTGGAATTGATCATCTTGACTGCAATGGGCGGGACAGAAGCATCTCCGAAAAGCGGGAGTATTGGCACAGTTGTGGCGGACCACCCGGCGCAATTCCTTGGAAAAAGTTTCTCCGGCCAATGAGGCTCCGCAAACAGCTCGACGATTTTTTGCATTGCCATCGAGCACAACAACGTCACAGCGCATCGTGGCTTTTTGGGCTTCCTCCAAGGTAGTCCTGCCAAATTCTCTTTGCAACTGCGGCAAGAATAAGCCAATCATGTCCTCCATGGGCCGCAAGAAATCAAAAGATGCTAGGTCCAAATTGCTTTGGCGCACCCGGGTGAGGAGACGCCAAGCAAACCACTCCTGGCTAATGAGAAGCCGCAATCGAGCTGTTGGTAAGAGATGGAGCTGGGAATTGTAAGCTGCCTGCGCGCCGAGCACATCTGCTTCACTTGTGAAAGACGCATGTTGCCTCACCATGCGTACGTGAAACTGTTGCAACCAGGGGACACTGAAGCCGAAGGTGGCGGACAACATGAAGCAGTTCAACTCAGGCAGCTCTCCTGCAAAATGATGGCACCCACTCCGCACGGTATAGTTGTACCACAGCAGCACACCACAGTCTGGACAGGAGGATCGCCGACATCTCAGTGGAATGTGTTGTTTCTGGACCAAACCCGACAGATCTACGACGATAGCTGCAGCAGCGGAGCTCCGACATTCAGCAAGTCGTCCTCCGCACCCAGGGCAAGCAACAAGCTGCGGCACCAATTCTTGAGCTTTGCTTTCCCGGCCGAAAACAGCAACCCTTTGGTTGAAGAGCGGTTCTAATCTGGTCGCCAAATGATGGACTAGTTCTGGCGAAATTTGCGCAGCCGGGTCAGCGTCACAAATGGCTTGCGCAAGGACCCCATGGCACTGATGCTGTGGATTCGTCATTGCAGCTGCATGAAAAAAAGAAAATGCTAGATTGATGTTTGCTGATAGCAGGGTGGCTTGCGGGTCTCGCGCTTGCAATCGGCAACTTGCATACTTGCATGCTGGTTCAAAAGCAGAAGCACGGTAGATGTTTGCAAGTCATGTTTTCGACCGCGGTTGCAATCATGCGCCGATGAAAGAAATCAAGAGACAAGGCCAGCAGCTTGAGGATGAAAGAAGACGATGCGGCCAAGTGAAAAGGCTCATACCATGGGCGACACAGGCAGCAAGCTGTTGGCAAAGCGATTGACTTCATTAGTACAGCCAGACGAAACTCCCACCGCGCCTCCAAATGCCAAGCGGCGAAGCAGCAAGGCGAAGCCTGACCAAGGACGCATTGAGTGTCCCGGGCTGAAACAGTAGTAGCAGCAAAAACAACAAGAACAACAACCAAAACACCCATCACCACCACCATTATTATCTCCGCTGGTCCGCTGGCCTGTTGGTGGCGCAGGCAATTGGTGGGAAGGGTGGGACTCTATGTCAAGTGCTGGCGCCCGCTGGTCCGCTTAGCCGCTATCCGCTGGTCGTTGCCTGCACTGCTGGTCCGCTCGTCCGCTGGTCGCTGCTCCGCTGGTCCGCCGAAGCTGGTTCGCCAGCCTGCTGGTCCGCCGGTCCGCTGGTCCGCCGGTCCGCCGGTCCGCGGGTCCTCCGGTCCGCCCCAGTCCGCCGGTCCGCTGGTCCGCCGGTCCGCTGGTCCGCTGGTCCGCTGGTCCGCCGGTTCGCCGGTTCGCCAGTCGCTGGTCCGCTGGTCCGCCGGTCCGCCGGTCCGCTGGTCCGCTGGTCCGCCGGTCCGCCGGTCCGCCGGTTCGCCGGTCCGCGGGTCCGCTGGTCCGCTGGTCCGCTGGTCGCTGGTCCGCCGGTTCGCCGGTCCGCTGGTCCGCTGGTCCGCTGGTCCGCCGGTCCGCTGGTCCGCTGGTGCGCCGGTCCGCTGGTCGGCTTGGACGGTAAGTGGATCGTGAGTGAGGAAGGCCACAAACTGCTGTGTCCAGACAGGATTACATCAGACTAAACCAGAGACACATCCCGTGTCCGGAATCATGTGCAGCCATGGCGGCCATCTCATGTCTGGGCATATAGCGAAAGCATTTTCTTCCGCGTAAATCCCACGCCATTTGTGCCGGCCTGGCAACTTGACAAGTCTCCTGAACGCAGTGCAGTCCAAGAAAGCTCTACTCGCCATGTATTTGAATGAGGGTGGTATGGCAAGTTCTGGCAGGGCCGCACAGTTCATGAAGGCCTTGACTCTAATGGTGTGGAGAGTCATCGGGAGACTAACTTCTTTGAGGCTCGTGCAGTGCACAAAGGTAAATTCCTGTATTTCTTCTATTTGTGTGTTGGAAAGGTCAACTTTCTTGAGCAGGTGGCAATTGTCACAAGCGTGTGCTCCTATGACTGCAAAGCCCTGCGTGAGTGTTAGTGTGGTTATCCCTGTAGAGCTGAGGCAACCTACAGCCAGTGGTTTGTGACGGCAGCTCGCTTGGGGAGGGAATCTCTCGCAGGGTAAATTCGGCAAGGTTGATGCAGCCTCGAAAGAGGTAATGCCCAAACTTGGTGGTGCTGCTAAACTGGTTGGCAACTCCTTCAGCGCTATTTACCCACTGCAGTGAACAGCACTCATCAAAGGCTTTGTAGCCAAACTCTCGGCAACCAGGGGCAGTGACACTGTTGAGCAGTTTGCAACTTCTAAATGCGTTGTCAGAAATGCCAACGACTGTTGCCGGCAGTTTGACAATTCGGAGCTGTCGGCACGATTGCCATGCTTCTGGGCCGATAAGTCTAATACCTGACTCAATGCTGACATGACGTAGGCGTGGCACTCCTGCGAACGCCCCTTCGGGGACTACGCCCTCTGGATTCATGGGGACGTGGACAGCAAGCGGGATTTTGTGGATAGGATACCCTTCTAGGAGTTCCTGCGAGGGCAGGACTTCGCTGCAATCTTTAAAGATGATGCAGTATTCCATACTCTGTTGCAGTTTGTCCCAAATCGGGTCCTCTAGATAGGTCTGTGTGGCCAGATGCAAAAATTCAATTGAACACCCGAACACTTTGAGGTCAGTCACTGAGACAAGGTAGTCCATAACATGATCCTCAAGGTCCTCAAATCGGTCGAACTTTGCAATGCTGAGAGAGACATTTATTGTCACGCCCGACAGGGTAGTTAGTACCAAGCGGCAGTTCATCACCGGCTCCCTTTCAGGGGGGGTGCTGGTTCCGGAAGATTCGGCAAGCTCCATAGAGGGTGACCTACCTACAGTCGCCATTTGAGCCGATAACTGCCGACTGTGTGTGAGCAGGTTAGTTTTACTCCTCCGGACAGCTGCTGAGACATGGGTCCTGACACTCCGAGCGAGAAAGACAGCACAAGGGATGGTATGCTTACCCAGGACAGGTGCTAAGGCACCCGCCGTGGTTCCTTAACGCACTGTCTTGAGGTCAGGGGTGCCAATTGAAAACTACGCCTTGCACTGGGAAGCGCTTCGGGTAGTCATGTAAGAAGGCATGTGGACCGCTGTGCTGCCAAGTTCAGACAGAATCGTTCAGTTTTTTGATTGGCATGTTGACTGCGCAAACTGACATTGGATGAAGGTGCCACAAGGCATTTCAAACCATCTAAAAGAGTGCTGTCAGTGTTACAAGTTGCTGCCAAGTTGGCAGTGGAAACCTGCTTCAATGTCACAAACATCTTCCTCTTAACTGGCCCAGTAGAGGTGTACTTTGCGGCCCTTGGGACCATGGTCAGTAGTTCTTGTCTCAATCGCGTTGTGAATCAAGGACCGTCGGTGGCCCCACGCCCTTGCCAAGAAGACGACTGGTAAATTTCCCTTGAACTTCGCAAGTGCAAAACAAATCCATCAGCGCTTTTAGTTTTTGTTCGGGCCACTCAGAGGTGCGCCAATGTGGCCCCAAGTTTCTTGCCATTTCTGGGCGCCAAGTGACGTGCTAATGAAAGTCTTTTCACTTTTGGATGCATTTCCACTTCGAGAGCCGGGTTGTGGTTGTGGATGTTACTCTTTTTCGTTTTCACCTTTTTTATTTGTTTCCCGAGCGATGCAAGGTCTGACCTCAATGCAAACCCTAAGGAAAAAAACACATTTCTGGGCGCCAGTTTGGGGCCTCCAAAGCGTTGGAAGAATTGTCTATCAAAACATGAGGTTTTGCGTGCGTCGTGGGGACAACGGTTTTCTTCTTTTTGTTTGGCTGTTTGCACAGAGGCGCCTGCTCTACACCTTCATGATCTTTCAATAGTCATTGATTGTCACATCCAATAACTGCTTGTGTCACTGCGTCAACTCTTTGCTTCCAACTTGTCGTCGAAAGCAACTTGTGCTCCTTTTGACTTGGATATGAGACCTCAGGGTCGTTGTTCCAAGAGTGCAAAGGATGCACATAAGGCCACCGTTAGAGCGAGAAGTGAGTGCAATGGATCACGTGAAACAGTCTTGCAGAGCACCTTGCAATCCAAAAAACTGGACTTTTCTGAAAACTTACTGCAGAGGGTGTAACACTTGCGTATTGTCGAAGCGAACTTTGCCACATTTTCTTGCGATGCTTACCTTGTAAGGTGGTCCATTCGTTTTTGATTTTGGGGCCAACAATTTCCACAACAGGCTCCGTGGGTGCGTTTCCTTGACAACTGCATTTGGAACCATGTTTTCTAATATTATTGCACCTGCTTTGTGATCGGATCTTTGGCCCAGATTGCCAAGCAAAAAATCAAATGAGACATCCATGCAAAATGCAAGCGCTTTACCGCGCAAATAGGGAAATCCCAAGTGCCATAGACATTCGCACGCGTTTGCCGTGTTTTGACGGAATTGAAATAACAAAACAAATTCTATAGACATGTATACAAACACTTGTTCAGATTCAGTTGGAATTACCAGCACACAATCACGACTCTTAATTTGTGCCATGGTGTGCACATCAATTGCAGCGTTTGACTTTGCACGCAAACTTTGTGACGAATATGATCGAAGAAAACAGGCCCACAAAAATGACTTGTGCATAGCACTGCGCAAGATTGTGATTGTGCTCATTTGCCAGGAAGAAAAAGAGATGAATCTTCGAAAAGAGGAGAAGCAGACCAAGACTAACAACGCGGAAGGTGGTGTGAGCCCATCACTCAGTTTGAGCAACACAGCTGTTAAATTTTCAACTATGCACGGACTGAAGCGAGAACTTTGTTACTGCATTGATGCTTTTGTTAAGGTCGCAAAGTAACACAGATTGACTATGCCAAACATGAAGAAACTGTGAAAGAGCTTGACCGACAAGAAAAAGAACAAGAGTTTGAGCGTGCCTTGACACATTGGGTTTGTTTGATACCAAAATTCATGCGTCTTGGGACAACTTTGCCCAGTCACGGATAAAAACTGTTATATATTACTATATTTTATCCCTTGGGCTTCAGTGGGTAGAAGGGGAATTGGAGCAGCGAAAACAGTCTTCCTGTGACACCGATTTTTGACAATGTTTTTAGTTCATGTCGCAGAGTGTGATATCTGCATCAAATGACATTTTTTTTTGTCATCAACATCTCCTTTTGGAGATGCTCGGTTGAGGCAAAAAACGCGAGGCTTCGCAATGGTGCACTTTAGACCACGAACATGGTCCCAACTGCCGGCGTCCTCCAACCGGCTGCTCACAAGATCACGCCAGAGAGTGGCAGTGCCGCAGCCCAATTTTTGTGACTGTGGGTTTGGCAGAAGATGTCTGCCAAAAGGCACCAAGACGGACCTAACCGACAAGTTATCCAAAGTTGAGGCCAATTCATGAGACGAAATGAGTCGCTTATTCTTATTTTGGGGGACCAGCTGTGATATATAAGAATATAGTTTGTATAGTTACGTATATAAGTGAACTGAAAGACGCAAAGACGCTTGAAGACTCCGTCGGTGAAAAGGTTCCGGACGATTTTGACATGGACGAACATGCGTCCGGCGATCGCTCTGTTGCGACGGAACGACCGCTCAGAAGAGCGAAGCACCGGAGGATTTACGAGCGAAGCACCGAAGAGAAAATCGCTGCGGCCGAGCGCTTCCGACAGGAAGGCAATGAGGCCTACCGCAGCTTGGCAGATTTTGGAGCTCGGCCCATCTTGTTTTCCAGCCTCATGGCGCACGGCATGATCAATGGGAAGACATGTGCTTCGAGCACTGGTCATTCGTCGCAAGGTAAACGGAACTACGGCCTTGCTGCGGTGCACTACCGGAAGGCCCTGCTCCACTTTGACTACACTTTCGCAGAGACGGAGGACCGCTAGACACTTCATGATGAGAAATAGCTTATGAGAGGGGACATTTCCACTTCAAGTAACTTGACAACAGAGGGAGATGAAAGATGGCAAAATGAGGAAGTCCACACTATGCGAGATAAAGATTGCAGACTGCAAACCACATCAAATGGTGGAGTTTGAGTAAGTAAGGATGTTTGTATGATGGTCCTGGGTCACTCTATCTATGACTGAAGGAGTTGGAGCGACAGGTGGAGGCTTCGAAACTGCCCTGTTTGTTGAATTTGGCGGCCTGCAAGTGCCAACAAGCTCCTCGGTCAAATTGGCTTCAAAATCTGCGGAGACCGGGGCAGATTGTAGGTCTTGCTCGTAAAAACCTGAGGAAGATTGGGAGGAGGTTCTCACACAATGCCGACAAGCTCTTGAGATCAATCCTCGTGCAACTTGACTGTGAATGACTTGTCTGCTGAACAAACAGTTTGTAGCCAGGGAAGTTTGGATTGGTGATGAGATTCGGATAGGCTGAACATGGATGTACACCTTAACACCAGCCTGTGATGCCTGTGAAGCAAATTCTAGCCCTTGCATCATCTGCATTTTTTTTCTTAAGCAGTTACTTTACTGCTAGTAACAAGGGCATCGATACTAGCAACAAATGCATCGCTATTAGTAGTAGGAAGAAGGTACTAGTATCAAGGGCATCGCTACTAGTAACAAGTGCATC